TCGTGGCTTATTAACAATGCTAACGTAGACATATGAATATCTTTAGGTTATATTGTTGCTAACAGCGTGGCTGATGATGGAACTACTATTCTCGCAAGTTCTACTAGTGTGGTTATTGAGACAACTACGCCTGTTGGTAAGAGTCAACAAAAAAAAATGATGTATAGTTTCGTAATGCACACTATGTATTTACTAATAGTTGTATGTTTCGAACGGTGGGCTATTCTGTTTTGCTTATTGTTGTTCTGCAATGATACCACTTGCGTTTTTATTCTTCTTCGCTTCAGCTACGACGCATTTACCAAATGTTTCTTACTCAACATTTACACCGTCTAATGCAACGACTAAACCACAGACAAATAACACAGAATCGTCAACATCAATTGCACAGCCAAGTATTTTACTAATGCTTTCCTTGATGAACTGCTCACAAACATAAAATAACATTTTTCACTAAGATGAAAGGGATTATTTATATTTAAATGTTTTCACCGTATAAACAAAAGAAAGTCTGGAATTATTTATTTGTTTTCTTTAAAGTATTGACGTCAAACACAGCGGCTTTCACATCGAACTCTTCACAAGAACCTGCTATTAATTCAACTTTCCCATCAACTTCCACTCCGAATCTATCAGTGACAACAATATCAGCAATATCAACAATAGGACCAACAGCAACAGAAACGAATACAACATCACAACCACCGCCACCATCACCAACAACAACAATAACTCAAGTACCACCCAAACAAGGTAAATAGAATGATTTGTGTTATTTCAAGTCTTAAAGCTGAAAGAAGTTCGAAGCTGCTAAGAAACAGATGCTTCAGGCGTATAAATCTGACTAATGAATTTTCTGCCTATTTGCGTTTATTAAAGGTCGAAAATTTGATGGATTAAGTTTTGTGGGTGGTATGATTTTGGTTGTTGGAATTGGTGCGCTTGCATATTTAGTTGTAAAATACTTAAGAAAAAGCGGAAAACTACCATATTCAACACTTCGATAAACAATTCGCCACGATTTTTCATTAGATCAACGTCCAATATTATTATTCTTCCAGTGGCTTTACAACTCTTTTTT